TATTTTTAGTTGTCCAATTAATTTCTTTCTATTTTTAGTAGAGACGGGGTCTCGCTCTTGCTCAGGCTGGTTTCGAACTCCCGAGCTCAAACAATCCGCCCCGCCTCGGCCTCCCAGAGAGCTAGGATTGCAGGCGTGAGCAACCGCGCCCGGCCCCTCTAGGAAGATTTTTTTATAGAGGTTACTGGTGTCACCTCTTCTATCCTATAGCTGTTGACACTTTCTCTAAAGGGATCCTTATATTTTTATAATCCTTCCATTTGTCAGAATCTTGCTTTAAGTTATAGTTATGAAATCGCTAGGCAGAAAGTGTTAATATGTCAACTGCAGTGACTCATAAAGAAGTTTGAGTTTGGTTAGGTAGCAACTACAAAATAGGGCCAATGAGAACATGGGTCTATGAGTGGAGATACGTATAAACAACAATGGATATACGTACTCTCTGTCTAAGGGTGACAATTTGCTGAAAACAATTCTATTTATTTTAATTGTAGAACTTTTACAGAGAAAAATGTTCGTATAACAAAATCAGTTTCTTGGCTACAAGCAGTAGATATGGAATGTGAATTTCCTTAGCTTTGAAAAGTTAGTCTAATTATTATGAATTTTGGGCAATACCTTAAAGGATGATCATTCTACTATCTTGGTATTTTGGGATTGTACCATATCAGTTTTGTTCCCACCAATGACCATTCTGGTTTGAACCAAATTTCAGTTATTTATTCTTTTTTTTTTTTGAGACAGGGTCTCATTTTGTTGCCTAGACTACAGTGTAGTGGTGCCATCATAGTGCACTGCAACCCCAAACTCCAGGGCTCAAGTGATCCTTGCACCTCAGCCTCCTGAGTAGCTGGGCCTACAGGTGCACAATACCACGCCCAGCTAATTTTTCTATTTTTTTTGTAGAGACGGGCATCTTGCTATGTTGCTCAGGCTGGTCTTAAACTCCTGGCCTCAAACAATCCTCTTGCCTTGCCCTCACCTCCTAGGATTACAGGTGTGAGCCACCATGCCCAGCCTATTTATTCTTGAATCTTATAGGTGTTATACCTTTAACATTTTCTGTTTCCAAAATATATCTTGCAGTCCTTATACCTTACTTTCTACCTTCCTCCCCAATCATGTAGATTTATCTTGTAGTATTCCTGAAGCTGTATTTCTCAAAGTGTAGTTCTCAGACCATCTGCACCAGAATCACCTAGGACTGGGGAAAGTGTTTGTCAAAATACAGATTTTTAGGGCCCACCTCATACTCACTAAATTGAATCTCTTGGGTAGGATCTAGGAATCTGCATTTTAATAAACACCTTGAACTTTTCTAAAACAGATTCTTCCGAATGCTAATGTTTAAAGAATCATCCACCTAAAGTTTTCAAATCTTTTGGGCAAAGGTAAAGAGATACTAAGTGTGATGAAGAAGACTGAACTGCCACTCATGGATATATACCCACCTGTAAAAGTGCTGCAATAGTACCAAATGAATGCCACAGCATGGGTGCAAGGTCAGGAACAGATTCTCGCTTCTTACTTAGCTCCAGCAAAGCATTTTCTCTCGTTTCAGGACTGGACAGCTCATTGATCCACTGATAGATCTTTTCTCTATCCACTTGAGCCAGTGCAGTGGGCACAGGCTTCAGGTGAAAACAAGACAGAAAACATGAGTTTATTACAGTCAAACCAAATCTTACTCTGTAATAGAGCTTTAGAGGGAATACATTTTTCATAAATACCAAGGGAGCTTTTCTTTACATACATTTGATGTAAACTAACTCAACCTCTTTGGCAGTTATTGATGAAAATCTAAAATGCACACATACCCTTTGATAACTCCATGTTCAGAAATTTATCCTGTAGGTATGCTTGGGCTGTACTGAGGATATACCAGGATGTTTACTGTTGCACAGTTTTGAAGGCAGAAAACTAACAAATATCTATCAATAAGGGACTGGTTAAACATGCATTGGCATATCTTTATAATGGAATACTACGTAGTCCATGAGACTGATGTGCTACCTACTGCACTAAGGAGGTATCTTGCAATCCTTTAAAAAAAGATAACTCTCTATATACTGATACTAAATAAAAAACAACAAAGAGGTGCAGAACAGCATATATAACATATACTTTGCTTCCATTAATATTCTTATATATTTACATATGACATTTCTGGAAGGACACATAAGGAACTGTTAACTGTAGTTACCTCTAAGGTTGGGGATCTTTATGGGAGACTTACTTTTCATTGTATGCACTAAAACTTTCAGCATAAACTTTTTTTTTTTTTTTTACCACATCTATAATAGTTTTTGAGAGAGAAAAAAAGTTACATGCTCCCCGCTCATTAATGGTCCCTCCCCTGTAATTCTGACACTCCCTTCAATGGAGCAAAAAAACCTATATAATTTGGAAAAGCTAATGATTCCTCCTAATGATTCTAATATATACTCTACATATATCCCTTTGAGAACCATTCATTACTTACTCATGTAGGTACTATATAAATTTATAGAATACACTTTCATGATCATGCTAAAGAATCACAATATTCCCCTCCAAATGTGAGCATTTCTATAATTCTCCACACTCATCAAATAGCTTTGTGACCTTAGTTAAGTTCCTTAATTATTCTTACGTGGAAAATAGGACAGCAGACTAGAAAAATGATTATAATCGTTACCTGTAAGCTCTCAACTTCTAACAAATTCATGACAATTTCTACCCCTATGCCCAATATTTTTTCAGGTAATTGCCCCCAAACCATGAGGAATAAAAGGTATCTGTACTTGTAAATGAGATCACTAATGCTCACAGGAATTAATTTGCTTAATTTGCCTAGGTATGAAGTTGCATATTCCAGTGCTTTTTTGAACTACATTACACAGCTTCTCACAGTACTTAGAAGTTCCCACTACACTTGAGTGTGACAGAATGATGACCTACCCACTGCACAGAGAGAAAGACAAGGAACAAAAAGAACTGCCTTTGGTGAAGAAAAGAATGAAGTACAAGATGGACTTTGAGGTGGACTCAAATTTACCCAACTTGAATAATGACCCTTTAAAAATGGAAGCTTGATTATATGCTTTTAGTTTGATATTTATCATTTCGCTTGCCTGGCAATGAACCACAAAGTGTTCTGCTAAATGGACTGAAATACAAGGCAGTGTAAGCCTTAAGTGCCTTACATTAATCTGCTAAAAGCTGTTCTGTTACTCCCACCAGTGATGCTCCTCAGAGAATCATAGGCTCCTAAAGCAACAGCATGATACAAGGAATAGGGTAGCTTCCACCTCCTATCCCCCCCAAAAAGCAAAAGCAGTATTGTTCAAGCACTTGCCCTTTTTATGCGGCTACAGATAGGCCCTCATCTTAGAAACTATTTTTGGAAATGTAATTCCTACCTGAAGATAGGGTATGTGTTTATTTAGAATATTACATCACCTTAAAAGCTGAGTGGAAACACAGGCTAAAATTTTTAGCTTTAAGTTCTCTGCCCACAGTCTCCTGGATGATCCCACAATCTAATCACTAAAGGAGGCCTCACAGACACTGCTCCAGCAATACAGTACCTATCCTGATTAGGTGACCTTCCCCAAAATCTTGTCATACATACACCACCATCAACTAGAGCCAGTCTGTGACTTGTATTCAGCACCCCCATAGCCAATCCTGTCCTGGTAAGCCACCATTTAGCATACCATGACTTCTGAACACCAGGCCCCATCCCCACATATTCCCTTTCTGTGGTTGGCCTAATGCCAGCAAAGGAGTTGGTGCCCCTGGCAGTGGTGCGAGCACTCTAGAAGGCCAATACCTGCTGCCTACTTGGGTTCCTAAGGCCATGGCCACCTGTTGCCAGCAATATTCCACCTTGTGAGGCTACTTATAGGAAATGCAGCCTCCATTGGACTTTGGTTCTGTATTCTTTTTTGATTTTGAGACAGTGTCTTGCTCTGTTGCACAGGCTGGAGTCCAGTAGATCATAGCTCACTGCAACCTCCAACTCCTGGGCTCAAGCAATCCTCCTGCCTCAGCCTCCCGAGTAGCTAGGACTACAGGTGCACACCATCATGCTTGGCTAATTTTTAAAAATTTTTTGTATAGATGGGGGCCTCACTATTGCCCAGGCTGGTCTTGAAGTCCTGGGCTCAAGCGATTCTCCTGCCTCAGCCTTCCAAAGTGCTAGAATTACAGGTGTGAGCCACTGTGCCCTGCCTGGACTTTGGTTCTAAGGGAGCTAGAAGCATGTCTGGTGGGTGGTAATGTGGCCCTCTCAGGTAGTAGCTTGGTACTATGGGTTCTGCAGCCATTCTAGCAATAGGAGGACAGTTTGGTGTCAGGAAATATCTGGGATAGAGATCCTCCTTTTCATCATCCTTGTTGAATTTCACCACCAATTTAACAGCAGTAGTTAGTTACACCAGCTGAAGACCTGTCATGAGAGGAATACAATTATTTTTTAAATAAAAATGGGAGCTAAAAACATAGTGCTTACTCTGCCATGCACTGTCTTAAATATCTCTTTTTATAGATGAGGAAACTTGAGGCAAAGAGAAGTTATTTAAAACTTAAATGGCAAGCCAGGATTTGAACCCAGGCAGTCTGGCAACAGAGCCCAGACTTTTAACTGCTTTGCTAATACTGCTTCTCATCTGCCTGAAAGATTAGATCTGATCTAATATGACTTTCTAATAAGCTATTTCCTTTGATCTTAGACAATATAGTAAATACATGAAAATCTCAGACAAAAATTAAAATGTTATTGCTCTGAGTTCAACAGAATCTGAAACAATACTCAGCACCATGAACATTATCATTGATGTTAAGAGGAATCCACTATTTACTGAGATTACAAAGTACTTAACAAGTATTATTTTAATGGGAAATTCAGTAAAATGGTTTGACATATTTCCCAATGTCACATTATGGTTCAGATAGGGGCATAATTTAGCTAGTGAGAGCCATCAATATACCCACACACAAATGCACATACAACAATTTTATAACACACATATAGGAATTTTGTTGTTTTGAAGAATAAAAGAGAAAATTTTTTACATTTTCAGTTGTATATTTATATACTAACTTACATTGCCAGATGATTGATAAATTATTTTGGACATCACCCTAAATAAAAGACCACAGCATAACTCTAGTATCTCACTAGATCTTGATGGTAATAAAAACTCTAAATGTATCTTACTCTCCTTTTGATTCCCAAGGGTTACGTAGGCATACCTTTCAGAAAAACAGAAGAATTTGAAAATTGATGTCTTCTTAAAAGGAGGTGTGAAGCAAAAGAAGGGTATAGTGGGTGAGAGAGGAGAAGGAACTGTGTTGTATTTTTTTTTTTAAAACATGATTTCATTTAATGATCACAAGGTGGTTATTAGCCTCATTTTATAATTGATGAAACTATGGGTAGACAACAGTGGGCAGACTTCCTCCTCATCCCGCTCCCTAAAGAGCACCTTTAAATCCTGCAATTCAGATGCTACAATTCTTAACTTTTTTTTTTTTTTTTGAGACAGGGTCTCACTCTTTTTGCCTGGACTAGAGTGCCGTGGCGTCAGCCTAGCTCACAGCAACCTCAAACTCCTGGGCTCAAGCGATCCTTCTGTCTCAGCCTCCCAAGTAGCTGGGACTACAGGCATGCGCCACCATGCCCGGCTAATTTTTTCTATGTATTTTTAGTTGTCCGATTAATTTCTTTCTATTTTTAGTAGAGACCGGATCTCGCTCTTGCTCAGGCTGGTTTTGAACTCCTGAGCTCAAACAATCCGCCCGCCTCGGCCTCCCAGAGTGCTAGGATTACAGGCGTGAGCCACCGTGCCCGGCCTCTCTTAACTTTTAATTTACTAATATATTTCTGAGGCTGTGGCTGATCTGGAACTCAATCTAGTAGTACACATTGCTCAGTGGCAGATAAGCAAACTCACCTGTGACTTTCCTATTGGAGATTACCCAATCTAAAAACATTAACAATAATACTAGGAAACTAATCATGAAAGCAGAAGTTAACATTTTTTGAGGCCCAGATCCTTTCAGAATCAAATGAAAACTACGGATCTTTTCTTCAGAAAAATACACAATTGCAAAAACACAAAAATCTACATATTTTTAGGAAATTCATAGACTCCCTGTAGTGCATCCATGGACCCAGAATTAGGAAAATGTTTATCAAATTGAGTAGGAAAGACCTCAGTTTGCAAGTAAATATATAAATGGCATGCACACTGGATTGGGGGCCAGAAGTGGCTTCGAAATCCAGTTTTGCCATTTTTAGAATTACATGACCTAGGACAAGTTATTTAACTTTCCAAGCCTCCATTTTATCATTGTTTAAAGTGAGGGGACAATACTAAATTACCAGTCTTAGCTCTAAAATTTTAAAAATTATTTAGTTTTTAGTTGTGAGAAAAGTCTAAGAGGCTCTCTAAAAAATCAATTTGATTGAGGTATAATTTGGATACAATAAAAGTACACCCATTTTAAGTGTACATTTCAATGAATTTTGACAAATTTATATACTCATGTAACCACCACCACAATCAAGATATAAATCACTTCCATTACCCACCAAAAGTTCTCTAATACCCCTTTCAGTAAATCCCACACTCAGCCCTGGGCA